ATATAATAATTTTGAATCCACTCTTTTAAGAGGTTAAGATGTGCATGATGTTTACCGAAAAAAGAAGAAGACGTGCATGATAAATATTTCGTTCTCTAGCTTATGAGAGAATGTGTATTTTATAGATAATATATTTGATAACACTTCATTTCCATTATTGATGAGAGAATGTGTATTTAATAAATAACATTTGGTAATGTTATCACGTACACCCTAAATTTTCTAATGTGTGTTTTTTTTTTTTTTGATAAATAAAAGGCCTAAGCCCAACCAAACAGAAGAAAAACTAATAAATAACATTTATTTAATCATGATAACACATTTTACGATGTGTGTATTTAAAAAAAACTTGTCAGGAAAAAAATATTTTTTTTTCTCTATCAATTTGTATATCTAGATTAATTGTTCATTTTCTAGAACAGAAAAATGAATTAATTTTCCAAAAAAAAAAATGAATTAATTTTATCAAACACTTTCTACTAACTTTTATCCCCCAAATAAAAAAGAAAAGAAAAGAAAATAGTTTTGGTAATGTTATCACACACACCCTAAATCTCCTAATGTGTTTTTTTCTTTTACTTTTTTTTTTTGTAAATAAAAGGCCTAAGCCCAACCAAATAGAAGAAAAACAGACAAGAAAAAGAAACTAAAAATTACACACCACCTCACGTGGTCTACTAACAGAAGCCAAATTCGCAAGCAACAAAAGGCTAATACTAGGAGGAGGATCTCACCAAATTCTTTTATCAATATGTTCTTGATCATCTAGCAAAAAATTGGCCAACCAATCTGCACATGTATTCCCTTCTCTAAAGGTGTGACGGAAAGACGTTGACCAGTTCTTTTGAATCCATATCCGTATGCGAGATATTAGATGACACTTACGGATTGCTACTCCATTCTTGGAAAGCAGAGTGATTACACTAGAGGAATCACTTTCAATGATCACATTATGATAACCTGCACCCTAAGCCATCTCTAAGCCCCTAAGCACCCCCCACAATTCAGCTTTGAAAAAAGTACAAAAACCCCAATCTGTAGGCATATCCACCCAACCACTTTCCATTTTCATCTCTCATCACACCACCGCAGGCAGCAATAGCAGGATTGCCCCAAGCAGCTCCATCAGTATTAATCTTAACCATACTAGCACCAGGAAACTGCCAAGAAATATCTATTCTCATAGTTCTTCTCTTAGCACACTGCCAGGAAACTGCTAATGAGGAATAAACAGCTTTAACTGAAACTTCACCTTCACCATCCAAATTCCACGATCTCCTATCAGGTCCAACAGAAGCACTAGGAGGAAGAGTACCTAGCAAAACATTGATAATGTTACTAGGGAACCATTGCTTTAGACGCATCCAATCCCACTCCCTATCAGCTGCAACCGTATCAGCTACTCTAGCATCTAAAAACAATTTGGAATCTCTCCTGAAAGTACACTCAATTAAAGATTGATTCGGGATAATCCATTTATCCTCCCAAAATTTAATGCTTCTACCATCACCTAAATCCCAAGTTAACTTATCCTCTATATCCTTCCAGACACGACATAGATTCTTCCAGAGAATTGAATCAACATTTGTAGATTTGAAAGAACTAGCCCTTCTAGAATTAGCTTCATACTTAGCCCGCAAAACTTTACTCCACAGCTGATCTGATTCTGTCATAAATATCCAAGCCCTTTTAGCAAGAAAAGTATCATTCATTATCTCCATCCGTTTCAAACCCAATCCACCATCCTTTTTAGGCTTCATGATTGTCTCCCAACTGATCAAATGATTTTTCCTAACATGATCCATATCACCCCAGATAAAATCCCTTTGAATTTTTTCTATCTTCATGCAGATGGAAGAAGGAATCTTGGTACTCTGCATTTGAAAATATGGAATAGCTGCCAAAACTGAATGTGTCAAAGTAATACGACCAGCTTGAGATAAACTTTGCTGATTCCAAACATTAAGCTTACCTTTAATTTTCTTCACAATACCTTCATAGATATACTTAGAGGCCCTGCCATGTCTCATCATTGACCCAAGATAACGACCAATATTTCTAACATGCTTAAATCCATTCCTCTGGATGATATTATCAATAACATCAGCACCTGTATTTTTAGAAAAATAGATACTAGTCTTCTCAACACTAAGGTTTTGACCCGAAGCTTCTTCAAAGAGAGAAAGACACTTATGCAGTACTTCATATTGCTCTACATTGACTTCCATAACCACCATGAGAACATCTGCAAAAGCAAGATGAGTAATTTGAGGACCTCCCTTGCCAACTCGGATAGGCTTCCACAACCCACCATTCAAAGCAGTCATGAAAATATGAGTTAATTTTACTATAGCAAGGACAAATAGGTACGGTGATAGTGGATCACCCTGCCTAATGCCTCTAGATGGACTAAAATCACTAGTCTTACCTCCATTTCATAGAACATTAATCTTAGAAGACTCCACATAGTTCATGATCAAGTTGACAAAATGATCAGGAAAAGTGATCTCTTCTAGAACACATTTCATGAAATTCCAAGAAATCCTATCATAAGCCTTAACCAAATCAATTTTAATTGCCATAAATGCTTTCTTACCCTTCATCTTATGCATTGAATGAACCAACTCCTGAACAATTATTATGTTATCCTGAATATGTCTGTTAGGTACAAAACTCACCTGAAACGGGGCAACCAATTTCTCCATCATTAGTTTTAATCTCTACACAATTATTTTAAACAAAAGCTTATACAAGACTGAACAAAGAGAGATAGGTCTAAACTGGGATATAAATTCAGGATTCTTCACTTTCAGAATTAGCACCAATAAAGTAGAGTTGATCTCAGCCACCAAAGAAGGGTTGGACCAAATCTTTCTAACTTCTTCAATAATTTGACAATTCACAAATTTCTATTTCCTTTGAAAGAACACTGCAGGGAGTCCATCAATACCAGGATCTTTGAAAGCTCCCATGGACTGCAAAGTGCTGGAAATCTCATCACTGGTAGGCATTCTTATCATACTTTCTCGAGCTTCAGATGTAATAGGCGCCCAAAAATTAGGAGAAGAGAGCCACCAACGGGACCAAGATTCCTCAGTAAATAAGTTTCTATAGAAATTGCAAACATGATCGTTAAGCTAATTTGTTTCCTCAATCCACTGATTAGTATCTTTTTTAAGCCTTGAAATCTTGTTGGAACTTCTTCTAACTACAGTCCTCAAATGATAATATCCGGTATTCTTATCAGCATCAACAATCCAGCTATGTCTAGACTTTTGAAATCAAAGCATCTCCTCTTCATCCATAACCAGGTTTAATTCTTTTTGCAATTGATTCTCAATACCTTGTAATCTCAGACAATCTGCCAATGACCTCTGTAACTGAACTTTCTCAATCTGCTGAGTTAAAGCATCTTTCCTCTTATTTATGTTGCTATAGACATCTTTATTCCATTTTTGGAGCTTTGGAACAAATCTATCCAACATCAATTTTATCTCTGCTCTTTTATACCAAAACCCCCCATTAACTCCTCAAACTTTGGATGATCCATCCAGGATGCAAGAAACCTGAACGGCCTCTCCTGCCAAGAGTTATGTCTTTTTGAAATATTCTGCAACAGGGGATTATGGTCAGAATGCAATCTAGGAAGAACTCTGACCTCAGAATCTTCGAAGGAGATTCTCCAAGAAAGATTAACACAAACTCTATCTAATTTTTTATAAACTCTCTCAAGATGGTTCTATTTTGGTCCTTGCCAAGTGAAGTGAGATCAAAAGCTGCGAAGATCATCAACAAGGCAACTATCCAAAAACTCAGAAAACTTGTAGCACTTAGCTCTATCGATTTGACAACCACCTTTTTTTCTCGCTAGCATCTTTAATATCATTAAAGTATCCAGCAATAACCCACAGAATACTAATATTTTGACTGAACTGGTGCACTTCATTCCACATCTCATGGCGATCCTCTTCTCTAGGACTAGCATACACAGCTGTACAAACAAATATTTTATGATAACCAATTTCGACCATTAAACGCATATATTGCTTTGATTGAGAGATAAGATGAACTAAAGATCTATTAGAATCCCACATCGCCCAAATACCTCCTGAAAAACCAACTGCTTCCTCAAATATGGCTTGATCAAATTTCAGTTTTTTCATTAAATTTTTACTATTAACACTTCTAGTACGTATTTCTATTAACACCACCACACAAATACCATGCTTATCCACTAACATTTTTAAGGTACGACCAAGATTAGGCTTAGCAGCACCTCTATAGTTCCAAAAGAGAACAGACATTAACAAATTCGTTGAGAAGATGCAGGATGAGCTTGCACCTGCAACAAACGTCTTGATGATTTTGTTCCTACACCACGATTGGCAGCAATACCTTTGAACTTATTAGAAACACGCCTCAATTGACTCAATTTTGGATCAGGAGGCTTAGGAATTTTAGTACTCCTCCTACCCTCCTGACTAATCTCCATATTACTATCCTGATTCACCAATGTTGTTCTCATCTCATCCACAATCATGGCATTATCAGTCACCTTCCATTATGTACGATCAGACAACTGAGATGACTGCCTATCTAATTTTGATTTGGCAATAGAATGAATTATCTTCAAAATTGTTTTTTCATCATTAGAACTTATATCTTCATAGACCTCATCCTTTATTAGATCGTCCTACACAAGATTGAACGCATTCTCCATCTATAAGTTTGACCTTATCTTGAGAACCCTTTCTCTTCTCCTTATTTGCTTCCAGAGACACAACTTGCTTCCCTAGAGAAGACTGGCCTACCATCTCTTTATACTCTTGGCTAGGATTCTCATCATTATAAATACCATATTTTTTATCAGTACTTATATTCGACATCTCAACTTTATTGTAACTTTCACCCTTTTGCTTCTGCATCCCTTCATATCTCTTTCCTTGAACATTTCTCCTTTTTTTGCCCCACAAAACCACCATTCATGGACCAAACCCCTCTTATTTCTCCTCCTTTAGATCAATTATAGTATGGTCTTGAACAGGGACAATTTCTCTGCATGGATTATCCCCTTTAGCATCCTTATCAGCAAAACTTGGGATAATACTAGGACAACTCTCAGACCTATGCCCGTACTTCCCACATGTATAGCAAATAAGGTGCAAACCCTCATATTCCACCTTCTTGTAACGATTCTCTATCATATATTCTGCCTTTAAAGGTTGACTAAGATCAAGTTCTAAACAAATTCGAGCGAACTTACCTCTAGCTAGGTTTGTCGTTGCAGCATCCAAACAGATAAATTTTCCAAGCCAATCGCCTACCCTTTTCAACGAAGAAGAATTAACGTACTCTAAGGGAAATCCTGGAAGTCTGACCCAAGCTATGATTTTATTGCTGGAAGCTTGATAAGCATTAAAATCAGGTTCCCATGATCTTACAACAAGATAGTGATCAAAGATGATCCAAGGACATGTTGTTAAAGCATGCTCCATATCAGATTTATTTTCAAATCGGACCAAGAAAAAATCATTTTCGTTATCTGTAACATGGATCTTCCCATCTCTTTCCCACATATTCTCCAACCTCCTTTTCATAAAGCTTATAGACAATTTCTTTCCCGGCAGTTTTACGATAAGGGATTGTTTCCATGGCTTCCAGGCCTTTTTTTTAAAACCATCCGATAACTTAAAATTCGTTTTGCCATCTTCACGAACCTCAATCATCACCTCTTCCTCACCTAGAGCCGACTCTAGAACAACTTCTTCCGTTTTGTCCATCTGTATCTCATTAACCTCATCTGCAACTTCCTCTTCACCCGCCACCCATTCTCCATTGTGCCTCATTAAGATTTCCTTAAAACATGTTTATCCCTCCATCCATGCTTCCTCACGATGAATATGAGACTAGTCATTTGAGAACGATCCATCTTCTTTATATTTCTTCTTACTTCTTTGTAAATTATCTACCTCCTCTGATCTTAATTCAAGAACGTCAGATTCTTGCATGGCGGCACAGAACCGTAGGAAACCCTAGCAGGGGAAAATAATTGTGTTTGGATTAATAATATAGACGGCGGAACTAGAAATTTACATAGGGGCCTAATGTGTTTTTTTCAATAAGATGACACATGTCAATCTTTTTTTTTTAATTAACTATGCATAGATTTACGATTTTAAATATTTTTAATATAATTTTTGAGAATCTATTTGAATAAATTACTAATTATATATATATATATATATATATATATACACTTTCTTTAATAATTTGTAATATTTATATTTGTTTTTGTATTTTGACTTAGATTTAAAATTTTCTGAACAATGCATAAGATCATTATTAGTTATTAAAAAATTTGTATTTCATTTACTAATGTTTGCCATTAATTATTTTTCTATCATTTGTTTAAAAATTGCAATATTAATATTCAGATTTATCAGTAAATATCAAATAAAAAGTATTTACTGTTATAACATATAAATGGTATATTACTTATATGTAACTTAAGTATCATTATTAAAAAAAATATCATTTTAAATAACACAATTTTATGTTATTTAAGTGAAGCGATCATATTTTACCAAAAAAAAAGTGAAGCGATCATGTATTAGTGCATACTTGATAATTTTTTATATTCTTTCTCATTACAAAATCAGGAGAATAGATAAAAAAAAAAAGAGTATTATGGAGGAGAAAGAAGATAAAAAAAATTAAGAACAAAGTCGTTTCACTTAAAATAACATAAAATTGTGTCATTTAAATGTTTGATTCCCACCAAATATATTTTTGGGGAGAGGCAAAGAGTTTTAACTTTGATAAAGCCCCGACTCGGAATTAATCTTATAGCCGACTCGAAGAATTGAAGCTTGTGAAAAACCCAGAGGCCTAATTCCTATTTAATAGATAATTAGGGTTGATATAAAAAAAAAATTAATGACAAACATTTTTCAAAAAATAAAAAACAAATTTATCTTGTCTGATCCAACCTCCAAATAGTAAATAGAGCTATGAGGCTAAGGTGTGCCGGAAATGCTCAGGTAAAAGGAAGACTAGTCCATGGTTTCTTAAGGATTGTGAGGCTCTCGACCATTTGGTATCAGAGTCTAACATTAGGTCATCCCCGATGACAGGCTCCCTGCCTGATGAAGGCAATCTTAAGGAAACTCTTCGAGTTTCTTCCAGAGAGAGGGTAAAGATAGTAATAATATTATATGAGGTGAGCAGGAGAGGAAATTCTCAAATCATGGGTAACATAAATACTGAAAATACCTAGCCGATTATGCTACATCCTTCCTTGTCTCTTCCTAAACACATTCCCTAAAAAATAGAAAATCTTATAGAATACTCTTATGTCCCTGAAGCTGCAAAGATCCTTGAAACAGTACCGCAGTTTCTCAGCCTTTATAATATTTTCAAGAGACAGAGATCTGTGTTTAAAAGTATCACCAAGTTGATCTCCACCAGGAGACCGACTATGAAAGAATATGTCAAGTCTTCATGAATGGATCAGTGTGAACTATAAGCCACGTCTCAAGAACAGTATGTAGATCTGGAGATTCTTACTGAATTAATCATTCACTGGAAGCAAGAAGGATATACTGCACTTTATTTTGGTGAAATCAGACTAATCCTTTCACTCTATGGAAGGAAAGGTTTACCTGTCACAGCTCATATTGCTTTGCTAGACTTTAGCTTCATTCATTATGAAAATGTTGTCATTGGCACTATCCTGACAATACTTCATGCAGGAAGTGTAGTGCTAACCATCTTTTCAAATTATAATGTCAGCCTGAAAGATAAAACTTTGCCCAAAAAACTCAAAGTACATATACAACTCACAAGAGCTGACCAAGTTTCTGAGGCGTATGCAGTAACTCTTCACCATCAGATGATCTATAGACTTTAAGATCATGTTGTAGATCTTCCATAGCTGCCTAACAGCTATAATGATGCTTTGTTTGTCATAGCAAAAAATCTAGAAAATACACCTTCAATCATCCAGATTTCGAGAAAAATATGTTGTGAAGAATTAACAGAATTGATTCATTTAGAATGGCTGACTAATTATGAAAAGATTCATAAATCCAGCAAGCCCATCCAGTATCATGAGGCGAGTTTCAGGAGATCTATTGATAGAACCATGACAATAATTTTTAAGAAGCCTGATGCAGTAGCCAGCAGTTCTACTCTTCCTATTTTTCAATCTATAATGATATTTCCATGTTATACTGAAGATCAAATCCCTGTTTATGGGATAATGCCCAATGAATCCCCTAATTTTACTGATCGTGTTAATGGTCATTTTATATGGGATACAGATCCCAATATGTGTGATCCTGAGTTTGATTGTTGGATGAACACTAGAGATACTTCAGATGAAGAGGAAGAAGAAGAAAATACAAGTAGTCGTAGGCGTTGCAAATCACCTCCTCTTGCTCAAAGAATATCTGACCCAGATATGGTCCATGGGTAGGTCTTAGGACACAGAAAAAACTTGAACCTCTTTGGATCTACAAGAGGGGTTTAGAAATTCTCAGAGAAAAAGGATTACTTCCTCTAGAACCACCAAATAACCCTGAACTCTTGACCTAGTCACCAAAAAAATACTTTATCAAGATGCCAACCTGAATCCTTACCAATTACTCAACCAATACCATATATGATGTTTTCACAAAGCAATTTTCCTCCTTTAGAAAGACATACCTACCCAACCACTAAAATCACCACCAAACCTTTAATCACCCAAGGAGAAGTCCTTCCAGATGGAAAATTGAAGCAATTAAGTCAAGCTAAAGAAGTACGCAATTGGCAGACTGAGAATGCTCATGCTCAAAACTCTATTCTGAAGAAACTTGATGCCAAAGTTAAAAGATTTACAATCAAATGGATACTGTTAAAGATCATCTGCAACATCTTTAAAAAAGATGAGAAAGCACTACGAGAAGAACATGAAGCAAATCACTCAGCTTGAAGAAGAAGTCAGTAAGCTAGGCTTTACTCCAGAAGCCAATATAAGAGATAGAGAGATAAGAAGGCTAAAAGCAGAGATCCAAGATCAGGAAAGAATCATTGAACAAAATATCAGATCTCAGCAAAAGCCAGAACCAGTAGAAAACTACAATCCTTTTTTGGTACCTCCTATGCCAAATTATTATTCTCCTTTCCAAAATCCACCAGAATTATGGACCAATCCACATCCTCCAAGACCTTGGATATTTCCAAGTAGCCAGCCCTATGATCAAAGAACCCGCAGAGAAAGTAGAGAGAGAGGAAAACAACATTCTACTTCCAGAAGACACTCACCTAGAACTAGAATAGAATCAACTCCTTCTTTATCCTCAAACTCTACAGACCATGTAGAAAATCTCAACTCTTCAAAAAAACTTTTGAGACTGCAGATCTTAAAGATCAATTAGCCATAATCCAGACTGAACCTCAAGACATAGATGAAGACCAATCATTTGAGATAACTAGATCCTCCTCAAATACCCAGAGTTCTAATTCCTCTAAGATCTCTTCCAAAGAAGCTCTTGAATTAGATTCAGATCACCAAACTCCTTTTGAGACCACTGAAGAAGAACAATCCGATGTAGTGCCAGATTCCTCTGATTTTTCAGAAGCAAAATATGTTGATATTACTGGCATACTGATGGCCAGAACTGCAGAATCCAGAGTTGAGTCATATTATGACTCCCCTGAATCTGAGACAGGAGATGTTACTAGCAGAAGTCGCAGTAAGAAGACAACTGCTGTAGGATCTTGGTTTATAATTGATGATATTTCTCTAAACCTATAGAGAAAAAGACTTTTAGACTTTGGGGTATGGATTGACACTAAACTTTTACATGCTGATTCTGATCCTGACAAGGTAATGGAAGAATTCTGCTCAAGAATGATTGGTTCGCTTAAAGAATGGTATCATAACTTGGAAAGTGTTTGGCAAGACCAACTCCATCAAGTTGGCACCACCTCTGGTAAGTTGGAAGTTCTCCATCAAGAATTCATTGGAGATGGAGATATCATAGACAAAAAATACAGGAAAGAATTCTTTGAGATGAAATGTTGCTCCTTGAAGATTAAAGATCTAGAAAGACATTTCAAAAGAATGATTTAGAGATTCTACTTGCTAAATGGATACACTGATCTTAGCTTAAAGAACACCTACGTGGATTTTATCCCTAAAGAAATTCAACCTGAATTGAACCGAATGGCCATTGCTCAAGGCAAAGACTTCACATCCCTTACTATAAGTTAGATTCACCAACTGACTCTAGAGGCGGTAGATAAGCTCTATAAGCAGCACAAGTACATGACTGACTTGATAAAGTAGAGATCAAAGTATACTCAAGTCTGTAAGAAGTCTTATCTGGAGATAAAATGTGAAGATGGCAATAGTTGTGATTGCAAAACAAAGACGAAGACTCATTTCAAAAAATTCAACCAGAAGAAAAAGGGTAATAAATCCCAGAAGCAATACAGGTTCTTCAAGAAGAAAAATTTTCGTGGAAAAAACAAAGGGCAAAAATATTTTATTTGCAAGAAGAAATATTATTATGCAAAAAAACTGCCCTAACAAATCAGATAAAGTAATAAAGACGATAACTGCTTTGAATCTTGATGATGGTGATGCAGAATCTTTGTATTCGAAACAAAGCACTGGAAATGAAGACATTGTCTTCGCACTCCAAGACTCCTTTTCTGATTCAGAAATTTATGATAGTGATGTTCCAGTCTTTGCAATAAATGAAGTTTTCTATCTTAGTCCAGCCATACCAAAGCCTAGTGTAGAAGTTCACATCTTATCATCTAAATTCAGCCATCCAAAGATCAAAGGTGATTTCCT